CGCTCAGGGAACCGGGGGAGGGGACTGCCCGTTATCCCCACGCCGTGCTGACGGGGATCCAGGGGGGGCCGAACCCAGCGCTGGGGCTCCGGGAGGAAGGTACCGGTACCGGCAGCGTTAGCGGTTGGGAAGCGGGAGAACCGTCCCCACGGCCGTGCCCCGGTCAGGGACGGGCATTGTGCTGTTTTGCTACAGGGTAAAAATGGCCTCTCGGCGGATCACACGGGAGACGTTTGATGCTGTAGTGCAGGAGAAAGTTAAAAGGTACCGGATGGAGCGGGGTGACACCATGGAGGACACGATCCACCCTTTTAAAGGTAATTAAACCCGGGCGTGACGTGCCGTGGGTTGCACCAGCTCTTCTGGCAACCGCTACCTTCAATTTCTTCCCATTTGCCTAAAACGTGGACTTGTGCTGCTGTTTTTCCACATCCATTTTTATTGGAGGCTTTATTTGGTGTGACTGACACTAGTTCAATGTGGAATGCAAATTCCAGGCGAAAAAAAACCCAAAAACCCAAAACCAAACGAATTTCAAACAAAGGAATTCTATTCAGGCTGCATCAGAGAGTGGGTCCAATTTCAGGGAGGTCTCCAGAGACATCACTGCAGGATGGAATTCTGGTGATGTCTGATAAGTTAAGTAAATGTAGGAGTGTATTTGAAGCCTTTGGATCTTTGGATTTCATGTTATTTTTGGAGAAAAGGCTAAAAGCGGGGCATGAATCTAGTGAATGTACATCAAACATGATCTATGAATCTAGTGAATGTACATCAAACATGATCTACACATTCTTTTATCTTCTAAATTTGATATTTAAATTGTCTACAAAAATAAACTGGATTACACTCATAGGAAATTGAGAGTTTTAAAATGAGATCTCTCTGTTTTCTCAAAGTTGTATAAGAAATAATTTATTTTAAATGCTTGATTTGTTCAAGTAATCTTTACTTTCTGGATTTAACTGAAAGAACAGGGATTCTTGGATGCTTTGCAGAAATTCTAGTATTTCTGACTTCAGTGTTATCTTGGATAATTACGTGTGAGTGTGCAGAAAATAGAATCTTCTGTTCAACTGTGGAATTCACACGTTCAGTGTGGAAACAGAAAGTTCATGCTTTTGGTATTTTTACCTCTGAGAAGTCTGAGTAGAAGCATTATGAGGGCAACGTTAGCATCTTCCTAGACTGAGGAAGTTGTGAGCGCCTCTCCTATGAGGACAGGCTGAGAGAGTTGGGGATGTTCAGCCTGGAGAAGAGAAGGCTCCAGGGAGACCTTCTAGTGGCCTCCCAGTACCTGAAGGGGCTACAAGAAAGCTGGGGAGGGACTTTTCATAAGGGCAGTTAATGACAAAACAAGGGGAAATGGGTTTAAACTGAAAGAGGGGAGGTTTAGATGAGATATTAGGAAGAAGCTCTTCACTGTGAGGGTGGTGAGACACTGGAACAGGTTGCCCAAGGAAGTTGTGGCTGCTCCTCCCTGGAAGTGTTCAAGGCCAGGCTGGATGAGGCTTTGAGCAACCTGGTCTAGTGGAAGGTGTCCCTGCTGATGGCAGGGGGGTTGGGACTGGATGAGCTTTAAGGTCCCTTCCAACCCAAACCAGTCTATGATTCTATGAAGTAGAAAATGGGGTTTGTAGCAGAACTGGCATTTCAGCTTTAGTGAAAGCAGAAGTTTTAATGAATGGTTTTGTCATGTGTGTTTAAGCATTGATAATAATCTGTTGCTTTTTGCTTATTATTAATTATTCAATGTATGTATGAAAGCAAATGGGAATTTCCTAAAGCTGGAGGGGGTACTGGTCAGAGTTTTGATATGTTGACTCTTGTAAGTGTCTAAAGGTGTTTATTTATATTTTTTTCTCCCTCCTACTTGCAGTGCACTGGTGTATTTATGGTTTTTATCATTACAGCTCATTCAAGGCCTGTCCCAAGACCAAGATATGAAGGCAGTTTCCATGATGATGGAAGATACGCTCATGACAACGCCCAGCACCATCCACACAACGACTGGAGTGAAGATGCCAGAGATGATTATCCAGGACCTTCTTACAGACCAACTAGTCCTCTCATAAGGAAAGAGAACTATTACCACGAACAGTATGGACACCCGGTGTCTCGTGACTGGGAATTTGTTCACCCAGCATCCCATGACCGGGAATATGGGCGTCCAGCTTCCCATGACCGGGAATATGGGCGCCCAGCACCTCACAATCAGGAGTACGGGCGCCCAGCTTCCCACGACCGGGAATACGGACACCCAACTTCCCATGACCGGGAGTATGGGGGCTTGGCTTCTCATGACCAGGACTATGGTCCTTCTGACTCTTGGGAATCTACTGGACCACATGAAAGTGATTTTAGTTCTTCAGATATTTTAGGTGATTTTAGATCACCAGGACTCATGGAAGGTGAATATGGCAACATGGAAAACCAGGAGTATGATGTGGACTTTGGAATTCAATCTGACAGCGGGGAGTTCCGACCCCCAATACGGAGGGGCAGCCTTATCAGGGGAAGAGTTCTGAGAGGAAAACGTATTACAAGGGGTGTTCTTAAAACTAAAGTATTCAAAGCAGAGATCAAAACTCCCCTAAAGAAATGGAACACTAAAAAACTGCCCCCGGGCCCTGATCAGAAGCCAGCTCTGCAACCTGATCAAATGCCAGATGCTGCTGAACGCCCCAACCAGAGGCCGCTGACCCTCCAACGCCCTAATCAGAAGTTGCCACCACGACCTAATCAGAGGCCAACTATAACAACCCAGAGACCTATTCTCAGGCTGCCAAAACCTGCTCATGTTTTCAGAAATCTCACTTTTGACCTTGTGGATAAATCAGACATTTTTTCAACGTTTGGAATAGAAATTATAAAATGGGCTGGGTTTCACGCGATAAAAAACGACGCAGAATTTTCCCGCCTTTTTGGAGCTCTCTTTGAACTAGAGACAGAAACCTGTGCAAAAATGCTTGCTTCCTTCAAATGTTCCTTAAAGCCAGAACACAGAGATTATTGTTTCTTTACTATCAAGAGTTTACAACACGCTGCTCTGAAAACTCCCAAAGTGGACAATGAGTTTTTAAATATGTTATTGGACAAAGGTGCTGTGAAAACAAAGAACTGCTTCTTCGAAATAATCAAACCTTTTGATAAATACATCATGAGGCTACAGGACCGCCTCCTCAAAGGTGTTACACCACTGCTTATGGCCTGCAATGCTTATGAATTAAGCATTAAAACGAGTGGTTTTGGTAATCCAAGAGAAATGGCAAGTGCTTTTGAGACCACTGTTTCTCTTTGTCGTAAATCTTTAGCGCTTCTGGGTCAGACCTTTGCGTTAGCATCTGTTTTCAGGCAAGAGAAAATACTTGAAGCTGTAGGGCTCCAGGAAATGGCTCCAGCACCAACATTATTCCCAAACTTTGATGATTCAACATTGTTTGGAAGAGAGTACATTGAAAACTTGAAGGCTTGGTTGGAGAAGAGTGGATATCCAATTCAGATGAAAAAAACTGAACCAGAGTCCACTGTACAGCTTAAAACACCCTCTCCTGACCCAAATGTTAAAAGTGAGTGAAGTGTTGTAAGATACTTTGCAGTGTATAATGTCTTTATTCATTGCTGGCATTTTATCTTTTAATTTTTATGGTTTTATTAGGTCAGGAATCCCTAATTATTAGGGAATTCCATGTAAATCCATAGCAGTGCTGAGGCAGGTAGTAAATACTATCTGTTGTAGCAATGGCTTTCAGCTTTGTGGCTCCTGCCTCCCCTCTCCTGCACGTGCTTATACTTTACATCTCTGATTTTCACCTCGTGCCCTTGGCTGCTTCAGCTGCCCTGCCCTCCAGCTGCACAGTTTTGAGGTAGGGAAGCCAGGACCACAAGTGTAACTGGCTACACCACAGAGTAAGTAAGTATTAGCATCTAAGCAGAGTCAGAGATGTTACTATTACTGCTTTTATCAGATGCAGGCATATTTATTTGAAATTGTTTACATACTACCATCTATAGGAATGCTGTCTCCTCTGTGGTATTAGGCTGAAGTGTTCTTACTCATTATTATACTCATCTATTTTTTCCTAATCAAACTTCAGATACTTTCTCAGGGAGATCTTGTAGCACTGACACTGAATGGCTAAAATCTGGAACTCACCCCTTCAGAGTGCTGTTCAAATACACTTATTTTGAACAAAATCTTTTCAGTGCAGTAAGTAACTTTTAAAGGATGGCTTAACTTGCCCAGGATGGCAAAGGATAAGTTTCTTAAATAAATAATATTTTTTCTCATAATAAACTGCTCTAAAATCTAAACCGAGTTGAGAAAACAGTCAGAAAGTTTCTGAGGTTTCCTTAATTTATTTTAATATTAAATACAGCCTTTTTTTATTAATGTGTTGAAAAATTGCAAATGTCATTGTGTCAAAGAATAAAAAAAGAGGACACATAGGTACTCCATTGATGGGAATAATACATAATACAGTGCATTTTTTTCTTCCTGCAGCCCCACAGCGAGCTGATCGGAAAGTTGTAGAGACAATTGATCAGCTAGTGAACAGCATTGTTTCAGGAACCTTGTCTGCCAAAGAGAGAAATGCTCAGAAGAACTGCCCTGAATATTGGTAGGTGTGTTTAAACTCTATGTTCTAATGCTACTTTCTGATGAAGATATTTGGAATATGTTTAATTAAATTCAGTATTTCATTCAGTGGGTGTGAGATCAAAGTCTATTGTATATTTAATCAGCCTTTTTGAAAATGTTTCCTCTGTTAATTCTACTTCCTGATGGCCCTGGTAATTGTCCTGTTGCTGTTTTGTCTAGTAGATCAGGTTCCTTTTGATATGTCAATAATGACTGTATGTCAGTCCAAATACAGGATGTTAAAAGCAATTTCAATTTACAAGATGAATATGTTATTATATTATATATATAATTATTGTTATTATATTATATAATATTATATATATTATGTATTCATATAAATATGAATAAGTTAATATAAACATGCAGTAAAGGTAACACTTGGGGATCTAGTGGTCTGTGAATAATGTTGGAAAGGAAAACAGAGACCCTTCCTAGTGTAACAGTCTTTTAATATGACAGTATCTCTTCATGTGTGAATTGTAGCAGAGCTGATTAATTACTGGCCAGGTGATTTATGTCAAACCCCCCCATCATTTATTTGCTTGGCATACTTCACTTACTGCTTTAGAAGTGGAGTTGGCTGTTACTCTGAGAAAAGCCTGTGCAGGCTGATGTTTGTGTAGCAACTTGTGTGTACCCCTGGAAAGAAGGATCGATTGCTCCTGAGTTTGTGATCTGAGAATTTGCAATTGGTTGTGCTTTCAGCTTAGGCTTTCACTTTATTTCTATGATTTTATTCAGGTTCTTGTCTGATGAAGATAGTCTAGAATACAAGTATTACAGACTGAAGTTGTCAGAGATGCAAAGGCGGACGTCGTCTGGAAAGGAAGCGGGTGGTGAGGGCAGAACACTAGAAGAAGCTGCAACAGAATCAGTCAGGGCCATGTTGTATGCCAGGAAAGTTGCAAGTATTAAGAGAAGGCTATTTAAAAGAAAAAGGCTTGGAATTATCCCACAACATGGTTTTCGCAGAAGGAAGGTGAGGAGAGCAACCATAGGGACACAGACTGTGCTTTCAGCTGGTACAGTGCTGAAGCACCAAGACAAACATCTTCAAGGTTCAGTCCAGTCAGCATCTTCTGTATCAGAAACCAACCTGTCTGAGAAGAATTCTTCCCTTGATACAACCTCCTCCTCACAGTGTGCCACCAGTTCAGAGATCTCCCTGCCAGCAGAAGAAAGGGCAGATTCTGAGGATTCTTTAGCACCACCTGAACTTTTCCCACCGTTGTCCTCTCAATTTCCTGATGGTAAGTAAAGAGTCAAGATTAAATTGTAAATTATATGAGAAAAGAATTGCATAGAATGTTCTGCTGGAAATTCTAAAAATAATTTTGCTCAAGTAGATCATTCTCAACTGTATTGACCTTCCAGTGATGCAGATTTTAGATGAAGTTGTAGATAATCATAGAATGTTGTGGGTTGGAAGGGACTCACAAGGATTATGGAGTCCAACTCCTGTAATGAGCATTCTGTTCCTTGCAGTGGATGCTAAAACAATGGAAACTGCTGAGAAGCTTGCCAAGTTTGTTGCTCAGGTAGGACCAGAAATTGAGCAGTTCAGCATAGACAACAGTGCAGATAACCCAGATCTTTGGTGAGTAACCTACACATTTATCTTTGTAAATGGGCTGATAAGAGAAATCAGAGCACATCTAAACAATTGCTAAGGAGACACTTCCTTCTAGTGTTTGTTGAGATGTGTGCTTTTATTCAGTGTGTTGAGGAACAGAGGATTTAGAGCAATACTCCCTGTTGTCCTGCTCAGCACCTCCATTAATGGTGAATATCTGAAATATCTAAGACAGAAAAACACTTCTCCCAAATGCATATGTCACTGATATCTGTATTTTTTTCTTTTATATCCTAAGTAACCAGCTTGCATCTTGAAACAATGTTCTGCCAAAGTATTTTCAATCTTGTTATTGTTTTCAAGTGAGGCTTTGATGACAATGGCCTGAGTGCTTTAGTGAAAATGAGCACAGGTTTTTCTCTTCTAGTCATACCAACAAAACCAGAGCCATCTTCTCTCTTCTGTCTCTCAGAATCAATACACCTATTTCTGCGTAGTCCACATGACAAATTTGGAAGCCCTCAATTATTTTCTGGGGTCTGCTGTTTGCCTTCTGGGTCATCCCCAGCTAAGCTCTTGTTTTAGTTTCTCCATCTATATAATGAAGATAATTGTACTGAATTCTTTCCAATGCAGTTTGAGCAGTGCTGATAAAAAGCAGTCTGTAAGAACTGAGGGGAATGATTGCTGTTCTTAGTACATGTTGTCAAGGAATCCTACAGCTCTACAAAAACACATCTAGAATGACCATTCAAAAAATTAATAAGAGCTTTATTTCTAATGTCTTGCTTCATGCTAGCTAAAGAAAATCTTTTTCTGATATTATTTTCACTGTAATTTTTTGCTCAGGTTTCTACAGGATCAAAACAGTTCCGCTTTCAAATTTTACCGAATGAAAGTCTATGAGTTATGTCCATCTATTAACTTCAGTGCTGTGTCAGAAGCAACTGATGCTGGGGAAAGTGCTAAACCTGGAGAGAGAAATTTGGATATTTCAGAAGAGGAAGAGGATGAAGAAGAGGAGGAAGAAGATAATGAGGAGGAAGCTGAGTTTGAAGAGGATATCTCCCAGCCTTTGGAAGAAACAGAAATGGAGCAAGCAGAGGAGGGAGAAGAGGATGACATCTCCACAGGTAGAAGCGTGGAAAACCTAGCTGGAGAAATGGTTTCCAAAACAGGAGAAGAAATGTCAACAGGTGACATGCAGCTAGCCACATCATCTGATGGTGCTGTACCAAATCTGTCGACACAGGCATCAACTCCTGTTCCTGGTACCCTATTTCCTCGCAAACGAATCAGCAGCAAGTCTCTGAAAGTTGGCATGATTCCTGCATCTAAAAGGATTTGCCTCATAGAAGAACCAAAAGGTGAGTGTTATTTAAAAGAGATTTTGTTGGTGTCATGACAGAATTACTGATTTTTATGTACTTTGTTACTGACTGTTAAGGGCTGAAAGAATTAAGTTTCTTTAATCTAAAAATGAAGAGAGTGTTCACTGTAAAGGGTCATTCAGCTGACAAAGGACAATCTGAAGAAATTGTGTAACATTCTTTTGTATTACAGTGCAATAGGAAAGGTTGTGTTAAACATAATTCCTCAAATACTCTCTTAAATATATGTGAATGTTATCCTCTCTCTGCTGCTTAAAAAACCCCACAGCAGTAGTTTTTGTGGGGCTTATTTTATGTGTGGAAGGTTTAACAGACTTCTGTATAGCACTGAACATGTTTGGGGTGTTTGACTAAATATATTGACTAAATATATATATTTTTATATATATAAATTTATTTTTTTACTCATATATTGACTAAACCAATTTTGGTTTGGCCTGTCAAATTTTATCAATATGACTACAGTGGGGGTGGATCATAATATTCTAAGAACTGAGAGATAAGTAGCTTAAAACTGATTGTGTGTGCTCTGCAGCTACGTTAACAAATGTCTTTCCTTTGCACAATGATTTTTATTGGTGAAGGTTGGCATTTGTGATATGAAAACGATGTACAATAACCTCATTTAAATCTACTCTGAATTTTCTATCAGAGTACTACAAAGCTCAGGGAAATGAAAAATCTAAAGTCCTTATAGTAAATCATCCATCAGCATATTGCTGGCATGACATGTCCAAAACTAAATACCTGAATGTACTAATTACTTTTTTGTGGTGAAGGGGGGGAAAAAAGGTATTTTATTTCTTTTTTCTTTTTTTAAAATTTTTGTTCTAATCTTTCTTGAGGGTTCTGATTTTAGACCAAGGTATTCAGTTTGATTCCCACTTGAGATGTACTTTTGGAGTTCTATATTAAAATTGTTTTTCTTTACAGCTGAATTTTGTCATTGATTTGATTTGCAGTGCATGAACCTGTCCGAATTGCTTATGATAGACCTCGTGGTTGCCCAGTTACAAAGAAGAAGAAGGTAAAGAATTCTTCTGGTTTGCCATTGCATTCTGAGAATCAACTGTCTTTATGAGAGGCAGCCTCTGAAAATGTGTCATTGTCATCAAATCAAATCAAAACCTGAAAAGCCTGATCCTGAAAAAGACTGGACTAAATCTGAGGAGAGCCATGGCTCCTGTTGTCTTAACTTCCTGTGTAAAAAAATAAACATTTGATGATTATAGCACTATTGAGCAGTGTGTTAATCTTGTCTTCTATTAAAAAAAAAACAAAACAAAAAACCCCAGTTCATTGCTGTCTGGAAAATATGTTGTAATTTTCCAAATTTGGTGCAATGTGATTTCACTGCTTCTGTATTTGTCATAGGGAGTCATTCAGACTCAGATCATTCAGTATTTGTTATTAAAAAACATAACTGCCTTTTAAAATATCAAGGGGTATTCTTAATAATGTAATTAAACAGTTTGAGAACCTGAACTATATATTTCTTTAATTTTTTTAAATTGACAAAGCAGATATTTACTCTTTGATACATTTGTTCTCTGTAGCTAGTGAAGTGTTGCTTAGAAGATATTTCTGTATATCCAGAAATTCAAATACACTTAGTTTACAGGGATGGATTTAGGGATTTTTAATACATTATTTCCCTGTATAACAAAAAACTCCTTTGTTTTTCTGTTTTTTTTTTTTCCTCTCCACAGAAACCAAAAGATTTAGAATTTTCACACAAGAAACTAACAAACAGGAATGTGGGTTTCCAGATGCTTCAGAAGATGGGCTGGCAAGAAGGACATGGCCTTGGTACACGAGGAAAAGGAATCAGAGAGCCTGTAAAAGTGTATGTAATGGGGCCACACTACAGAAATTTGACAGCTCTGGAGAAGGCTGGGATTCTAATAGTAACTGTGTTTATCTGACCCACCTAGAAGTGGCCAGTTCAGTGTTTTGTTTCCTTCTTGACATTGGCCTTTGGCCTCAGCAAAGCTGAGCATGGAGACTTCATGCATTTTTCTGGCCAGGCTGGGCAAAGTCTGATCTGGAAGGTGGCTGTTTCTTGCCATCCAGTTTGACATCACTGAAGGCTGTGGCATGAATGCTGCAGCGTGCGGATGCTTTCTAAAGATATATGGGTGCCCCTGTTCTTCAGGAGGGGGTTTGTGTTGTTTAATGTATGTAGGGCTTTTTTAAAGCGTAGTATTATCCTGGCAATCCCCTTTGTACCACACCAGGACCACAGCCAGGTATATAATATATAAGCAGACTTTAGGAATGTCATACACAGTACTCCTAGGTTTAGGCAACAACTTTATTTTCACTCTTAATTATGTGATTCATTCCACTGCACACTGAAAGAGGTAAGTGCATCTGCCAGAAGGTAAGTGTGTTTTTTCCTTTAAAATATACTTTTGTTTTTAATCTTCTTTTTTTTTTTTTTTTTAAAGTTGCTGTATCCAGTGTCCACTGCTGCCAGCACAGAGAGTGCATAATATGTCCTTCAACTCTCTGAGTGAATAAGGAGGCAGAAATTGTTTCTTTCTAAACCCATATGACAAGCTTTCTAGTCCACACACATAGTCTGTGGTTTAACAATCTTCTTTCTCCAGGGATTTCTATTTTCTCATCATGCCTTGGACAGTACTGGTGACTTGAGTTGGTGGGATCCTTCTGGTTGTTTGCTTTCTTTTTTCTTTAGTGCTCCCTGTGGTCCAGTGGCCATCACTGTGTTTTCTCTATTTCCTTCTTCAGCAGCAAACAGACAAGGAGAAAGCAGCACACTTTGCCTCTAGCTCTCTTGTGCTCACCAGTGTTAGAACCTTGGTTCTTAACCTTGAAACTTACTGTGACCAAACATACAAGTACTTTTTTTTGTTTCTGTAGCTCCTGGCATGAGTTTTGCTCCACAGCTAATCATGAGCTGTGTAATTGTATCTGATCTGACAGCCTACCACATTCTAAAAGTTTCTGGCCATCTTTTAAGAACTGCATTTTTAATTTATGAAAATGCATTTTTTTTTTCCAGCTTGAGTCCATTGCTATGTCACTCTTGTAAAGACACCCACAAAAAGTAGCGAAGAACTGCTTTCTTTACCTCTTGCAAAAACTTGTTCACTTTCTGTGCTGTAGTGAGAACTCTGTATTATTATTTTCAGGGTGTGCACCTCTAGTTTCCCATCAAAGTAATTCTATGGACAGTACTTTGGGACAATCCAGTGAGGATGAAATGAGAGCAATTTAAGATTTTGCTTTTTCTTGTTTGTTGCTTTGATACAGTGTGGAATTTTCTTGTTCATTTCAAAATCTGGAGCCTTTTGTTTTTCCTCCTCTTTTGAAAACTACCAGCTCTTCTATTGATGACTTGTTTAAAAGTCTACATGCTGTCTAGTCTCATTCTTTGAGCAAAAGGGGATGGATTAGTAATTGGAGACACTCCAATTCTAGTGTGATCATTATATAACACTGATATCTAAAACAAATGTATTCAAGCACATCAGTTATTACACAAAGAAACCTGAGGCCCTTTTTTGTTAGGAAAGCTTAGAGCTTGGCTTTTTCTGTGAGAGCAAGTCAAATTTGCAGGTTTGAGGAGATTTTTATTTATTTTACTGTAAAAGATACATGAATTCCATGGTGACTTCTTACAGAAATGAAGGGTCAAGAAATTTTAAATGGAGTTTCATGTTAGTCTTGTGAGCTGTTCCCTGTCTTGTGAATTAATTTGTCACAGCTATGGGTCTGGCCAATTCTACAGTTCAAGAAACCTTTTTTTTTTAAAAAAAAAAACAACAACAAAAATAACCCCAAAAACCAAAACCAACCCACACTCAAAGGCAGAACATTGTTATGGGATAGACCCTCCTCTGAGTAACTATCTTGTGTCTTTGATTAGTTTTTTATTCTGAAAGTAATCTAGAAGAGGAACTGTGGTGTAAATAGGAAAAAAAACCCTGTTCTTTCTGTTTGGAAGTATGAAGCAGGTGTTGTGTAATGGAAATGGCAAATTAAAAGTGTGCTTCAAACAGGTCATACTATAAAAGGTAAAAAAAGCCAAGTGTTGGGAGGCCTTTTAGGTGACTTGACTTCTAACTATAATTTAAAATGAAACTTAACTTGATCATACAGTTGCCAAGTCAGATTTCGTACCATTTGGAAGAAAAATGGCTCCCAGGCTTTCTGCTGTGGACTGTAGAGTTGAATTTGCTTTTCAGAGTCTGTCAATATTCTTTTAGCATTGCACAACAATCTACTTGGCTTAAGTGGACCTATTATTACAGAAATTGGATAAAGATCATTTTTCTTTGTTCTACTCAAGGTTCTCAGATTTTACCCTGATGGCACAGCAATCCCAATTTCAGTACGTGGAGCAATCTGCATTTTCTTAACTGTCCAAAATGAAATCTTTAATAGAGAATATTGTTACTGACCTGGAGGATAAAACTGGCACAGAGGATCATTCCTGTGGCTGAGGTTTCATTAATCTTGGCTTTGTAATGTGTATGTTCTATGCACATGGCCTGGAGAAAGAGATGGGTTTTAATTATTTGTATCTCTGCATTCCTGTGGGTCATCCTCTCCATCTGCTTCCAGGGCAGAAAGTTGGTTTGATATTGTTGAGGCCTGTCTGCTTCTTTTGGCACGTTTGGGTGAAGAGAGATGAGTTAATGACTCATTTTTCTTGGAAGAGCAGGAGCTCCAGGTTTTGTCTACGGTGTGTGTCCTACAAGACTTCAGCTTGCTTTTGAGTGCTAGAAATTTTAAGCAAGCAGCATTACGTTCCCTTGGTAAAAATTTCATCTTTTAAGCAGTTATGTGTTGTTTCCTACTCATTCCTCAAAGTCTCTGACTTCTGTCATTTTTGAAATGGAAGAAACAAAGGCAATTTTTTGCCGTCTATTCAACAGAGGATCCTATCTACCATGAGTAAAGTGGTTAACACAAGAGTTGATGTAAGAATTTGATCTGTTAGATGATTGTATCTTCACTGCTCCCTTAATATCATAGGAGCATTTTCTTCTAGTGGGTATTTGCATGTGTAATGGGAGGTGGGAACTATTTTATAGTTCATCTGATATGCCAGGTGCCAAGCCTCCACTCCCCTTCTCCCCCAAATGAAGCAGAATTGCTTTCCACTTGAATTGTGTCTATGTTGGAAGCTATTGTTTAGATCTCTTCTGAACGTTGTCAAATGTAAGAGAAACAGAGTGTTCTAACTATTCATTTTACTCCCTAGGGGTGCTACCTCTGCAGGGGAGGGCTTGGGTGTTGCAGGGGAAGAAAATAAAGAAGATGCATTTGATGTTTTCCGTCAAAGAATGATACAAATGTACAGGCAGAAAAGAGCAAGTAAATAGGTATGTGCAATGGACACGTCTGGTTTTTGAATTCCTGCAAACATTAAAATACCAGGGGTTTTTTTAGTCTTCCTTTACCAAGAAAATATTACTATTTCCATTGAGTCTATCTGGCTTCTTAGCATTTCATGAAAATCCAGACCTACGCTGAATTGCTTTGAACTGCTGAATTACCCCAAATCTTGCTTTTTAGGTTTGAAATAAGAGACTGGCTCGCTAGACAGTGCATGGATACGCAAAGGCTGCTGTGTGAAAGATCTTCAGCAGAGTATGCCAGTATGAAGAACACTTTGTAGTAGACTTGAACACTAATGTATTAAAATGTTTTCCAAGATTCAAGTTAGTCTTGTATTTAATTGTGCAAGCTAACAACTTGGATGTCATCTTCTGAGGAAGAAACAACTAATTTTGTTCTCGGAAGTGCCTGTTTACCTCTCTCTTTGGCCAAGTTTGCCTGTTTTGTGATGAGATGGCTTACCAAAAAATTGAATAAGCAACATGAAAAACTAGCCTGGTTTGGCTCTGATCCTTTCTGAAGCCAAGAATCTTCTCAAATTCAGATCTTCTTGCAAGGCAGTTCAGATTTGATTTTACTACATTTTATTGATGGGCTAATCTTCTGATCTGCTTCTGGAGTCTGCATAAAGCAGTTTCCTTTCCTCCATACATCAATTTTAAGACGACTCTACCTGTGTGCTTATTTTGTATAGGATTCTAGACTTCAAGTGTAGGATGAATAACTTGAGTTCATCTGAGTCTGAGAACACTAAACTCTTCCTTGAAAACCTTGTCTGCAAAGGTTTTTCATTGTAAAGAACAAGTAGTACATATTTTAAATGTACTTTTTCACACAAATTTGCAGCTCTTCTCCAACAAATTCTTGAATAATTTCTTTCCTTCTCAAAGAAGTTTAAGCCGTGAGCAGGTGCAATTTATGTGTCTACAGAAAATACTTGGAAGTCAGATATTTGGAAGTCATCTGGAAGTGCATCATCAGTATTGTAAGACCATCAGTTTAGAAAGTCATTTCTGTTTCTATTAAGTATTTGCTTTGCAGAAGTTCTTTTATTGAAAAATCCCACGAAACAAGACAAAAAGCTTGTACTTCAAGGAACTATTCCAGGACTTACTGAAAGAGAAGACTGGATTATCTACTGTGCTTCAACAAAAAGTATTACCTAACTGCTTGGTGAAGCAGTTGTGAAGATGATATGAAAGATTTAGCAGTGTTACCACAAATAAACCTTCAAGGTCTGATCATTCATCTTTTCCCGACTTGCACATCAATACGGGATCTGTGACTGGATTACTGAAAGTGACAGAATTTAATATCGCACTTTTTAGCGTACTCATTCTCTATCATTACCTTTCTAAACCTAGTCAGAAGTCTTCACTTGAATGTAAAAGTATCAAAACCTACTTCACTGAAGTTCTCTTTAAAGCGTTGATCTTGAGCTGACGCATGTTTTGCTTCCTAGGAGTGAGTGCTGTCTCGCTGTTGTTTTCATCCTGCACCAATGCTTCTTGTAGAGCAGAGAGCTTGCGGTACACCACTAATAGCACCCCACAGTAACGTGGCAGCATCTCAAGTTCCTAACTGACAAATATGCAAGAAAATGTGTTCTTCAGTTATCAACTTGCCTGTGCCTGCTGTTTAAAGAACAAAATTATACTCTTTTCTCCATTAAAAACCCTGCTGGTTGAAAGGGAGTGTCTTCATTTTCATTCTCTAGCAACAAACATTTCCTTGCTTGTAACAACCAGTTTTAGTTTATGAATACAAGTTTGTTTTGGGTTTTTTTTTTTCCTTTACTGTATGGGTTTTTGAAACCATGAGAAACAAAATCATGTTGCAGTGTAATTTTCTGATCCCTCAAGTTTTAGTTACTGTGAAGCACATAATCACTAAATAAAACCACCATGGCAGATATGGAAAAATATGCTGGTAGTTCTGTTTTTCCATTAACATCATGTGTCTTCACCTCTATATTACAAGAAGTTGAAGCAGGAAGGCTGTAAATATAAATAAATCTGGTTATCACACTTCATTAAGGACATTTGATAGTCCAGACATTTCTCATAGGCTTTACTTGCAAATGTTTTAAATCCTTAAATGTTTTGGAGCACAGGCTACTTGAGAGATGATCAAGGACAGTATTTCGCAGTGTATGCTTACCTGTTCAGGTCCTATTTGGGTGTGTTCTTCACTGCTCCTCTTTCTTTCCTGTGCCAAATGAGCAGTTAAGCAGTGTAAAACTTGAGCCTTTCGAAAAGGAGATCTATCAGTCACAGTCTGTTGTAGAATGATGCTCTGGAACCAGTATTGTTGGCCTCTGATTTATTTCTCCGACCCACTCAAAAGGGTTTAGCTTTCCTTTTCATTTCATTGATGAAGCTGCCAGTGTCGCTGTTCACAATTTTTATTTCCCTGCAAACTTCCAGTTTGCCTCTTCTTTCACATTTACATTTTGGAAGGATTCTTGATTATTTGTTACACAAGGCAAAGTGGAGTTTCACGCTCGATTGAAATCCACACTCTCAGACCCAGATCAGCAATTCTACGCTGCTCTGATTTGACCCGAGTTTGTTGGGCATGGTACCACTCGGGGTGTATTTGCTAAACACCTGCTTACCCAGTCTGGGAAAATTGATGGTATCCAGATTGGAAAATGGTACCGTCCTTTCTGAGTGCAATTCAATTTAGAGTATAAAGCTGTCTTGAGAATAAAGGTGAACATTGGGAAAATCTTAATCTGCTACCCTGGATGACTGTAGTATGGTCTGTCTTTCTTGTGCCAAACTTTAATTTTGGACAAGATATCAGCAGAGCAGTGCTGGTGCTGCCATTCCAGTGTTGCTCTCAAATGCGTTACCATTTGCCCCTTTTATCTTGTTTTACCAAGAGATGACCTTACACTCCTTTTGCAAAAAGGAATTTCCTTTTATTTTGACCTGCTTTTGCAGGCAGCTCTGCTTTGAAAATTTTAAATACCTTGTACATGTGAAACATTTGTTATGCAGATACATTGCCTTGTTTAAAGTTTACTAGCTTCTTTTCTGTTATTTTAGTTCCAGGCTCTCTTCCATGAAGACTGCAAGCTTCAGTGAACATTTTAACTAACTTCAGTGGTGTGTCTACTGTCTTTGGTTGTTTTTTGCCATTAATCTTGTAGAGCAATTTGCTAGTTTCTGTTCCGTGCAAATTGGCAGTAGTGCTAAGCTAGTAACAATTAGATGCTTATGTTATGGGATAACTGACACTTCTTTTTAGTGTAAGTAAACATGTTAGCATTGTTAATCTTTTAATATCTGCAATAAATGTAGAACTAAACAGTTTTCTGGTTTAAATGTTTTGCTTGTGAATTTGGCCATTTGTAAGAGATATGCATCATTTTGGCACTGACAAGTGGAATTGAGATTACGCAGTGTTATGTTAGTGTAAAGCAGGATTTTATAGTATATGAGGGAAGGAAGGTCCCTCTGTTTCTGTGCTGCTAAATGTCTCTGTTGAGAACACTCACTAAATCATTTCTTAGTTACTTTTTCATGTGGCTTCTAGTGTATTAAATCCATACCCAACAGTGTTACTTGCCACACGAATGCCAAAACCATTGTGCCCCAGCCAGAATGCAAGAGTTTTACCCTTTATTCACATATCCCAGGAATTAGTTGTCTCTCTGATTTTATTGATAAACTGACTTTAAAAGAGCAAAACTTTCTCTTTACATATGTGTGTGGTTTACTGTTGCCTTTAAATTCAAATTCCTTTTTTAGACAGGATATGAGGGGGAAAATTGCAGCGAACTGAAATTTAACACTCGTGCAGCCGCCTGCTATCGAGAGGTAAAGTGAGAGTGTTCATTTGTGAAAGATACCAGCCAGGTCTCCTGTCCCTTGCTTTTATACTGACAACTAGGAAAAGCTTTACAGAGGCAAGTTCAAGCCCTGGCTACACCTTTTCCTCCTTTCCTTCAAAAATTTATTATATGTAAGGACCTGGTTCTAGAAGAAAGGACATTTGCTCTCATTGGAGAGAAATGAGGAGATCCCCATTCTGGGGGAGGTGCCCTAACAGAGTAAGAGAACTACAGTCAATAATACACTGTTTGGAGTAATTGTGTTGGACTAAAAGAGATGTTTTCATTTTTTTGCCTTTAAAGCTTTCCTTTGGTGTAATACCAATTACATTTTTCCTTTTTTTGTTTTTTTGTTTTTTTTAATTTTCATTTTTAGAGGACACTACAGCATCCTTAGCATAAACACTTAATCTGTGCTAAGATGTTACTTCTCAAAATCAGTGTACAGTATTTTTTTCTATTGATATTCCGTTCTGCTTTAAAGTTAATCCTGATGTTATTGTGCCCAAAGAAAGTCTGGACTCAGAAATTCAAATACTGTTATTTTGGATTATTTTCTATCCTACAAACAGGTATATTTTCTAATGAAAAATGGATTCCTGAAAGTCCTGTATCATCTTTAATTCTGCATATCTCATGACTGAGTGGCCAATCACAACCAGACTCTAGATTTTGAGCAATAATAAACACCTTAAATGAGAATATGCTCAAAGAACAATAGGGTACTTCTGAAATAAATAGTATTTTGTGAACCTTGTTAAGTAGGTAACTTGCTGAATTGCAGCAAGTGTGGAAAATGTTTGCATTATCTGTGGGCAATAAAGTTACTGCTGTTTAAGAAAGCACCAGCACACAGTGTCTTCTCTTCTAATTCCTGTCATTAGCAGGTTGTGCTAATTTCCTCAAAAATTATTTCCAAAGCAAGATTTTGCTTTGAAGGGAAAGTCCTATTTCGTTATCCTGCCACTGGGTAATAAAGCAATAGCAAAGCAACAAATACAAAGCAATAAGCTGTAATTTTTAAAAGGGCTGCCTCTGGCAGAAGTTCGTTCTAATCTATTTGATTTGTGAAGGTTTAACAAAACCTTTGAACAGTTTACAAGACCTGTTTCAGAAACTGGAACTATTGTGGGATGGGAAATA